GCGGTCCGTGAGTTCGAGCCCCGCGTCAGGCTCTGGGCTGATGGCTCGGAGCCTGGAGCCTGTTTCCGATTCTGTGTCTCCCTCTCTCTCTGCCCCTCCCCTGTTCATGCTCTGTCTCTCTCTGTCCCAAAAATAAATAAACGTTGAAAAAAAAATTAAAAAATAAAAAAATAAAAAAATAAAATCTTATTCTTCCTCCACTGAATTGCCTTGGTCCCCTTGTTGAAAATCATTTGGCTGTAAATATGGTGATGTATTTCTGGATTCCTAATTCTATTCCGTTGATCCGTATGTCTCTCTTTGCACCAGCACCACACTATCTTGATTACTGTAGCCTTCTAGTAAGTTCTGAAATAGGGAAGTAGGAGCTCCACAGCTTGTTTTTCTTTTTCAGGATTGTTTTGGCTATTCTAGGCCCCTGGAGTTTGCATATGAATTTTAGGATCAGCTGGTCAAAAAAAGCCAGCTGGGATTTTGATAGGGATTGTGTTGAACGTGTAGCTCAGTTTGGAGAGTATTGCCGTCGTAAGACTTCTTTACATTTTATACCTTCTTTAAAAAGGTAATTTGATGATTGTTATTTATACTAATTTCAGAAGGGTTGTGCTTTAAATCAAACACGTTTTTATAGCAAATGTAAGAGTGCGCAAGCTAAAATTGTCCAGCGTAGCTGGAGGGAATGACTTTTAAGCTTTCTCGCAATTGTGACAGTGTATGATGTGATTAAGTATGCCCTTGGGAAGCCTGAAATGCAAGGTCCCCTCACGCCGCTGGCAAGGAGAAGCAGCCTCCGGCGTCTATGAACTGTGCAGTCTCCCGGTCCTTCAGAGGAGGGAGAGGCTCACACCGTGGCAGGTGGAACCCCTTGCTCCTCTGGGGAGCTGGGATCAGACTTACCACCCTGAGTTCGAAGAGTAGCTTGCGCTCAGAGGAGGTGGGCAGGAGAGCGAAGGCCTGGATGTCTATCACTGGACTGAGGGTCACATTTCCAGGGGTGAACATCAGGAACGGGGCCGATTCGGGAGACGTCTCAAGCTCTAGCTCCGTATTGGGGTACAACCTGGCCAGCTGGAGAAAGAGGGCAGAGACTCAGGGGAGGGCGGGAGACAGACAGAAGGAGGCCGAGCTGTATCAGGGAAGGGCAGGTGGGCAGATCCCCAAAGTCCAAACTTGCAAGGGCCTTTGACCAGCAGTGGAAATATGACAGGAGGGCGGGCATTGTGTTTTCCAGAACTCTTTCCAATAGACAGGTGTTGTCTAATAAAGCGAGAGACACCCCCAGTGGGCACGCTCCGGTAACAGGGATGGTCGCCATACTGCTGCCTATGCGGCCCAGCTTGTGTTGACTACAGTGTAAGTTTGGGGCTGGGGCTGAATTGCCTGGGTCAAGAGAGGGGGCACCGATTGGTCTCCACTCGGCTTCCGCCACTTTTCAGCTACGCTTCACATGTCCGTCAAACAAATATCAATTAGTGGCCTAGCCCCACATTATGAGCCGGCCCGATGTGCCCTCCCCCCTTGTGCCCCAGAAAGATCTTATACATTTGCGCTGGTTCGGTGCTATCATCTCCCATGTGACCCTCCCAGCGACCCGGCGGGTCAGGTATTATTATCGTCCCCGTTTGACAGACGAGGAAACTGAGGCCCGACAAGACGGAGTTCCAGAGTTGGAGAGTTCCAGAGATGGAGAACTCTCTCTAGAGTTCCAGAGATGGAGAACAGCAGACCCAGGGTTCAAACACAGGCAATCAATCCAAATCCAGATCCTGAGACTTTATGCCACAAGGGGCCAGAGAATGATGGGACTTGTGCATGCAAAAATTAATAGCTTTTATCTTTACCCCCCGTTCTAATAGGTAAGCTGTTTGGAGGAAGCGTAGGCACAGCTCGCGGCCATGCCAGTACAACCTCCACATCTGGTCTAGGTCGAGGGGTTGCCTTATACTCCGAGATTAGTGTTCACGGGTCTTACCTGAGGAATAATGGCCCGGAATGAGTTGGTGTGCAGGTGGATTGGAGAGTCCTGGGGAATCTGCAGTAGAAGAAGCACGAGGCTACTTGAGATGCAGGACGCGATGCGGACTTGGAGGTCAGACAGCTTGGGTTCAAGTACCGCTCCTGCCAGTTTTTTGGCGGACTACTTTCCGGCACCCCTTGCTAGGTCCTGTGCCTGGAAAATGGGGATGATCATGATAGCACCCGCCGAGCAGAGCGTGCGAGGATCGAATGAGACCATGTGTGGGCAGAGCGCTAAGTGCCTGGAAACTCAGTCAACTCTTAACAAAAGTCGGTTTTTGTTGATTACAGTTTCTCAGGATGCTCCCCTCAAGGGCCAGTGAGGTCTCGTAACCAGCGCGACCTGGATTTAATCACTGCCAGAGATGGCTGGCCCCCCAACCTCTCTCATGGTGCCGTCCTCTACCGGCCCCAATGACTTGCTGATTTTCCGGCTTGGCGAACGCTGCCTGCACCTGTACGCAGCCCACCTTCCTGGATCTCTCCTCCCTCACGATCCCCTCTTTCCGTGGGCTGCTCGTATGGCACTCATCATAGTGCTTGGCTGTGGGGGTGCGAGGCTCAGACTTCAGGGAGTCCACTTCCAGCAGGGCAGGTGGCTGGCAGCATCCTGCTGTCTCATCCAGGCCCCACACCGTTCGTGCTGGGGCCACACTCTCCCAGACAGCCCTCAGCCCCCCGCGGAGAACAGCCAGGGTGTAACAGATCTGGAGAATTTGGTGGTCACAGGCGGGATTAAGACAATGAGCCAGACGGGGGGGGGGGGGGGGGCGCCTGGGTGGGTGAGTCGGTCACGCCTCCGACTTGGCTCGGGTCACGATCTCACGGTTTGTGGGCTTGGGGGCCCTCCAGCACTCCTACCCAGCACGCCCGCCTGCCCCCTCCTCCACGGTGTCGGTGTCGGGGCTGCATCTCCCGCTGAGGGCTCTCCCTTCCTACTCCCCCTTCCTCTCCCCTTTATCCTTCACGGGCGCTGCCCCTCATCCCTCTCTCCCAAGTCCACTGCCACTTGGAGGACCAGACAGGTCACCGCAGAGTCTGGCTTACGTTTGAAAGTACTACCAACAGTAGCTTATCTGTATCGTGGGTCAGACACCGCGCTCTTTACAGATCCCTGGGGAAGAGGCAGCTCTGGGATCGACATGCACAGACGGAAACTGAGGCACAGCCTGGGTTTGAACCCACACGGCAGGTTTCAGATGGCACGTTCTTTCCCTGAACACCGCTAACCTTGGTCTACCGTCCTGCCTGACGCTCTCTCCTGGGACCCCCAGGCTCCTCCTTCTCTTACTCACGTGCTGGTTTTGGATGGTGAAATTCATGCGCCCAGCCTGGTGGTAAACCCGGCTGGCTGTGTTGAAGACATACTCGGAGACGGCAAAGTAGACCGGGTGGTCCTGTTTCTCAGACAGCCTGATGGGAGGAGCATCGAAGGGGGCTGGGGAGCGCCAGTTTCGGCCAAAGAACTCACCCTGGAGACAGAGGGACACATCACCCACCGAAGGTTCCTACCAGAGAGGGTGCCTGGCAGAGGCATCCAAAGCCTGCCTAGGGGAGTCTCCTGTGCCCTGGGTGGTGGTTCCTCTCCAGAATGTGGGCCTGGGGTCCTGAAGCCTTCTGGCCCCACAATATTTAGACCCCGACAACTGTCCCAAATCTCCCTGTTATCAAGCCGGGTGGGGAGGTATGTGCCGTGTTCTCCCAGGCTCAGGATGTGGCACGTGGAAAGCATGTGGGAAGCATGGAGTCTGGAGATTAACTGTGTCCGTTTGAACGCTGGCCTGCCACTTACTAGCTCTGGGACTTTGGGTGAGTCCCCAGCTTCCTTGTGCCTCGACCGCTTCATTTGCCAAATTAGGATGGGGCCAATGGTTTCTAGGTGGCATAAATTTTAAATAAGTCAATAATCGTACAAATACTCAGCATCTGGCACATAGTAAGGAGCAGATGTGTTCGGTTCGTAAATACGATTGGAGGAGGCTGGCGCTCTAGGGCCTGGCTCAACCCCCCGGGGAATCCTGCAGGAGACTGGAATCAAGAGAAGGTATATTAGTTTCCTGTTGCTGCTGTGGCCACTGGCCAAGGATGGGGACTTATAGGCAGATGGACTAGAGAAGGAGGGGAGGAGCCGACTCTGGGAGGTAGAACTGATTTTCTGCTAGTCCTGAGCTCAAAAGTCCCGTCTCCACAGCAACTTACCTTGAAGGGTGTGTCTATGACTTGAGAAGTCACTTGGGGAGCTCCTACTAAGCTGTAGTCAATGCCGGCAACCTGGTCAATCATGGCGATAACTGTGGAACAGGAAAGAGACAGCGTTATGAATAGGGTAGTCAGACACGGTTGTGTGCGTTGTGCACTGCACAGTTTCAGGGCTCTCCTTTCGCATGGACTTTTGCCTTTGGAGAATGGAAATGGGGCTGGGGCCGATCCATGGTACCTTCAGTCACAAAGAGAGTGCTGTGTGCATCCGTTCACTCGTTCATTCAGTGTTTACTGAGCATGTGCCATGTGCCAAGTGTAATGCAAGAGGCTGATGAAACAGCTGAGCGAGAGAGCCCAAATCCCTGTCCTTTGACAGTCCAGGGTGGGGAGGAAGATAGGGAAAGACAACTGAATGTTCGAGCAAATAAATGTAAAAGTGCAACTCTGTTAGGTAGCGTAGGTCCCTTGGATGGTATCAGCCGTATAATAGAGGGTGAAATAGGGGGTTGCAGCTTGATTTGGACAGGGAGTCAGAGGAGGGGTTGCTTGGGCTCTGATCTGAAGGAGGAGCGGGTGTTGACTCAGTGAGAGGGGGGTGGAAGTGGGGCAGGACGTTCCTGGCAGAGGGAACGAAATGTGCAAGGATCTTGTACCAGTACAGAGCGTATTAGAGGCACGTAGGGTGTATCAGAGGAGTTGGCGATGTTCGAGGCATATCGGGACTGTGTGGCCGGCCACATTGCCGGACCACGCAAGGCCTTGTCACTCGAAGCTGGGCTCAGTGTCCTGAGAGTCAGAGGAATCTTCGCTAGGTCCCAAGAAGACGGGGAGACCCGACCTGACTGTAAAAGGTCCCTGTGGCAGCCAGAGGGGCAGGGCTGGGTGGACCCCCGGCCCTACGCGGGGAGTTCAGAGCATCCCGGTTTCGTTAAAGCAGCCAGGGCAGAGCCGACCCGTGATTCTCCCATGCGTTTGTCATTCTCTGCCCACCTCGTGCTCCCGGCAGGTTTCTGAGTCACTACCCTTACTCTCCTGAGTCCCCCACCTCCGGAAGAGACCCCCAAGAGAGGGGGTTACCCCGTATCCAACTCTAGAGGTCCTTAGTGGGGAAAGTTCTCCCGGGGCTCTTGGGAAATGATGGTGATGGCTCCAGGGGTACCGGGTGTCCTGGCATCTGATGGCACCCAGAGAAGGGAGGGGGCCTCCAAACCTGGCAGCGTCCGGAGATAGGGCTCCAGGTGAGAGGCTGTTGACTTCCGGACCATTTCGCAGATCTGTCCAAAGTGCGTGAGAAAGTCAGGTGAGTCTCCCTCTACCCTCTGTCTCCTTGGCCCTGCCCTTCCCCCCACCACCCTCCAGGAAACCTGGGTTATCTCCCCACCCTGTAGGTAGGTGTGTGAGCGGGGGAGGAGCGTGTCGAAAGGGAGAAGAGGCCGCTACCTTCATCAACACGCAAGACTTGGTCACTGTGCCATTTGGGCTGGGCCACACACGGGGGCCCAGCTTAAGTTCCTAGACTTTTCTGGAACCCACGTTAAAAGTGGATGGTGGTCGGGGCGCCTGGGTGGCGCAGTCGGTTAAGCGGCCGACTTCAGCCAGGTCACGATCTCGCGGTCCGTGAGTTCGAGCCCCGCGTCGGGCTCTGGGCTGATGGCTCGGAGCCTGGAGCCTGTTTCCGATTCTGTGTCTCCCTCTCTCTCTGCCCCTCCCCCGTTCATGCTCTGTCTCTCTCTGTCCCAAAAATAAATAAAAACGTTGAAAAAAAAATTTCAAAAAAAGTGGATGGTGGCCAAGTCTGGCCCCGGGGTCTGCTCTTGTCACGGTCCTCAGTTCAATGTCTTGGCAGCTGAGGGGCAAGAAGTGTAGTACGTAGACGCGCTTATTAGAGAGTGAGGGGTAAAGCAGACGAGCCGTTAGGTGCAGGAGGCAGCTCTTGAACCAGAGGCTCCAACCCCTCCTTCCTCAGCGCCTTGGCTTCCTCGTCTTGCTCTGGCTCCCGGCTACCTGGGAATAAGGGATCCTACGGAGCAAGGTGCCTGGTCTGCAGGCAGTACTGATAAAGGCCACCAGAGGGCCCCAAAGCAAAGCCAGAAGGAGAGTCCTGAGACCAGGTCCTCAGTGGCCACCAGCCTGCTCCCAACATCCAGAATTCCGGCTTGCACGATCCCAGAAGTCCCTAGGCTTCCGATTTCCCACCTTCTGCTATTCCTACACCACCTCTCTGACTTGGCCTTTCTCACCTCTTCATTTACTTAATGTTCACTTTGCATCAAGGGGCCTTTCAAGAATCACGTACGCGTAATAAAAAATACAGAAATGTTATAGCACTTGTCAGCGAAAAGCTGGCCTCCCTTGGCATACACACGATATAGCTGGGCAAAAAGAATACAAGGGATTGAAAAAAAAAAGCCAGGCTAGATACGGCTGCCTCATTGGATAATGCTCCCTTTTTTTTTTTTTTTTTTTTTTTTTTTTTTTTTGTGAGAAGCGTTCAGGATACGTTGACCCCAAACGGAGACTTCCCCTTTGATGAAAGAGGGAGAGGACTGCAAAGGGGATCACTCGTTCACACCATCATTCTGCATGATGCAATACCGAGGCTCCACAATCACTTAAAATCAACACTTTGTTTGGGGGAAGTTTCCCCACTTTGGGAACCACTGTTTTGTGCAAACTCCAAGCCAGCTTGCATCAGGTGGGCCTGACCTGGCCTCTCCCGGAGCACGAGGAAAGGGCAGCGCCACCCAGGAAGCTGGCCCTGCTGGGGCCTGACCTCGCCCACCCCAAGCCCCTGGGTCAGAGGTCCTCTCTGTCTTCATATCTCTATCTGCACCCTCAGTCCTGTGGGGGCCGCAGCCAGCGCTCCCATCCCGGGAAACTGACCAGTCCTTGGGCTCAGCCTCTCCGACACCTGCCCCATTCCCCACTGGACGCAGGGTATCCAGATTTTTCCGGCCCATGTTTCCTATATTAGCTGGGCAGAGACCACAACTTGCCTCTGACCTCAGCCTGCTGCACAGGGCTCCTGGGGCATACATGGCAATGAAAATAGCCTCGTGTCAGTTACTCTGCCCTTCCTCTGCATGAGGCACTCATCAGTGCCTGTGTGCATGATGTCATACGGTCCTCCCACCAGCTTTTCAGTGTAGACACTGTGATTATTTCTGTTTTATAAATAAGAATCCCAAGGCTCAGGGGCGCCTGAGTGGCTCAGTTGGTCAGGTGACTGACTTCGGCTTGGGTCATGATCTCACAACTCATGAGGTCGAGCGCCACATTGGGCTCTGTGCTGACACCCCGGAGCCTAGAGCCTGCTTCGGATTCTGTGTCTCCCTTTCTCTCTGCCCCTCCCCCACTCACACACACTTTCTTTCCTTCTCTCTCTCAAAAATAAATGAAACATTAAAAAATTAAAAAAAAAAAATCCCAGGGCTCAGAGAGGGTAAGCCCGTTAACCACAGCATCCCAGTCAGACAAGTTGCAGAGCTGGGATTTAGACCCCAGAGGTCTGACTGCAGGACTCATGTGGTCAAGAGCAAAGATTCCGGAGGGTGAAATGCAGTTGAGAAATGAGTCTCCAACAGTAATGCTGGTGAGTGCTCTGAGCACAGCCTGTGTGCCAGGAGCGCTAAGTGGTTATCGAATCAAATCCTTACCAGCCCCTTTCAAGGTAGGGCTCATTGTCCCAATTTTACAAATGAGTAGAGTGAGGTTCCAGGGGGTCCTTCAGTGTGCCCAAAGACACACACCAGGTAAGTGGAAGAGGCACTCCCAAGAAGAGGCACTCTTTGCCTCCAAGGCTTTTTCCAGAGGTGAGAGGTACTGAAGATCAGCCCCACTATGATTTTCAATATGGTGCATTTGGGGTGGGGGGAGGGTGAGCCATATTTAAGAATATTTAAGAATGAGTCATATTTAAGTTTCACCTTAAATATGGTGAAAAGGATATCCTAGATTTTCTCCTAAAAAGTTTTGGATTTGGTTTGGCATTCATTTAAATCCTTAGAACACCTGGACTTGATTTTTGTGTATGGTGTGAGGGAAGGATCCGACCAAAGTCACTCGTCCGTATGTCCGTAATATTATCTACAACTAGATATCAAACACTCTGCCAGCTACAAATGCCAATTTAGCGTACGTGGTCCCACAAACTTAGGAAAGCCTTGAAGTTTGCTTTTGCACCATAAATGAAGAAAGTTTTACTAAGCACATTCAAATGACAGCATACTTAAGAGGCAAGGCTCTTTCCAAATATCAAATATGTACCTATGTACGTGCCAAACTGTCCTTGTATTAATCACAAGTCTACTTATCCTTTTGCTTACCTTTTGTTCTAAGATGTTTTTGAAATTGTTTTCAATTCTTTTATGGAAGAGGTTCAGGATCCAGCTGGAAAAAAAGAGGAAAGAAGTCAGGATCCAATTTGTGATTAACTAGGACTCCAAAAAGGAGGGCCATTCGCGGATCTGATCTTCCCCCACATTGTCCCAAGAAGGGACCCAGCCAGATGAGGAACTCTCATGTACTCTTAGTGGGAACGTAAATTGGTGCAACCATTCTGGAGAAAGTATGGAGGATCCTCAACAAATTAAAAATGGAACTACCATATGACCCAACAATTCCACCTCTGGGTCCTTATCTGAAGAAACTGAAAACGCTAACTTGAAAAGTTATCGGCACCTCTGTATTAACTACAGCATTATTTATAATAGCCAAGATATAAAAACAACCTAAACGTTCATCAAAGGATGAATGAATAAAGAAAATGTGGTACACACACACACACACACACACACACACACACACACACAGGAATATTAGTCAACCATAAAAAAGAAGGATGTCTTACGATTTGCAACAACATGGCTGGTCCTTGAGGATATTACGCTAAGTGAAATAAGTCAGACAGAGAAAGACAAATACCATACGATCTCCCTTATGCGTGGAATCTAAAAAAACCCCACAACAATCAAGCTCATAGCTACGGAGAACACATTGGTGGTTGCGGGGGCAGGGGGCAAAATGGGCGAAGAGGTCAAAAGGGACAAACGTCCGTTACAAAACCAATAAGTCATGGGGCTATGACGTACAGCGTGGTGACTATAGATAATAATGCTCTATTGCATATTTGAAAGTTGCTAAGAGTAGGTCTTAAAAGTTCTCATCACCATAAAAATACGTGCAACCCTGTGTGGTCACAGATGTTAACGAGACTCACTGTGGCGATCATTTCACAATCTATACAGGTATCGGGTCACTGTGTCGTATGCCTGGAACTACTATAACGTCATGTGTGAATTATACCTCAAGAAAAGAAAAAGAAAGCAGGGTAAGTTCCATTCTTTATACCCTACAAAATCCACTGAACAACTTACCTGGCAGTTTAGCAAGTCGTTATTCATTCAACAAACATTTACTGAGCTCCTCTGATGGGCCAAGCACTGAGTTAGGTGTTGAGGGGCCACTGGTGAATAACCTCCTGGGCTCATGCTGTGAGTCTAACCCACTTCAGGTAAAGCTGCTCTCAGAGAAACCCTCCCCACCCCAGGTAGCACTCGGTGAGAATTGTGCCCCCAAACAGACATCCCACGCTATGTGCTCTCCTGGGGTGAGGGTGAGAGGTTGTGGGAAATGAGTGAACTGAGTCCGTGGAATCATGTCTGGTAACATTTTTTCTCCCATAGATTTTTCTTTGCCATTCAATGCTTGCTGATTGAGTGATGTGTATTATGAATGTAGGTATATTTATAGATTCATGCAGTAAAATCGGACACAAGTATTCCCTGGGATTCTGCAGAACGCATCTTGGACTTTCCAGGGTTCTGTCCCCTGAGCAAGCCCCAGGACTCATAGGCTGGGTGAACGTTGGCCCCCCTGGGTGGATCTGAATGACGCTGGCTGTAGAGAGCACGGCTGGAGTCCCTGACAGCTGTGGGTGGGGTGTTGCTTCCAGAAAAGCCCACCCCCTCTGACACCTCTGAGGACCCCTCCAACACTGAGTAGAAGCATAACAGACTGAAGCAGTAAGAAACTTTCCTTGGATCACAGACTTCATAAAGTCATCCTGGCCCCATTCCTCCTCTTGTTGCCCAGATTCGGTCCAACTCCTAAATCTGTCACATGCCCTTTCCCCCACGTCCACTGCCATCACCTGCCTGGGACATTATCGTCTCTCACCCGGACAACTGCCTCTCTCCTCTCTGGTCTCCCTCCACTCACTCTGCCCAGCTCTAATCTCCTAGGGAGTGATCTTCTAAAAAAAGCCAATCTGATCATATCACTGCCTTTCTTAAAATCCTTCAATGGCTCCCCGCTGCCTGACGTTGGGACAAAGACTAGAGTCTGGCTCCCGCCTATCCCTTTCGCTCTTTCTAATTAAGCACCACCCCTTCAGGTACGCTGGCCTCCGCTCCCTTCCTGGGAAGTACAGACTTTTCATGCCTCAGGATCTTTGCACATGTTTCTTCCTCCACTGGAGAAGATCCCCCCTCCTCCTCTTCTGCTAAGAATCAAGGCTCGTTTCAGATATCCTTTCCGTGAAGAATCTGTCTCTGCCCAAATGCTAGGTAAATCCTCTATATTCACAGCATCTGGACTCTCTCCTTATAAGCGTGTTATCACAACTCTGTTGAAAGCAATTCAATAGATATTAATATACTTTATGTCTCCTTCCCCCCACTGGAATACGAATTACACCAAGGTGGGGACCCTGTGGGTTGTGTATCATCTCGTATTCCTAGCATTGAGCTCAGGATCTGACAAATAATAGGGGATCAATAAATATTTGTTGAATGAACAATTAAATAGTTACCAACTCCCCACTTGGGTCAAGACCATGGGTAACCATACTTCTGTGTCCCTATCAGTGGCACCCACCCATGCAGCTATCACCACCATAACAAACTAGCTAAAATATTTCTCTGGCCGCCACTGTGTTCATCTCCATTGTGTGTGTGTGTGTGTGTGTGTGTGTGTGTGTGTGTGTGTAAACTACACAGAATTTCATGGCTTTGCTCCTGAGAAATGGGGTATTATGCCCACCCAGTTAAAACAATACAGTAGTGGGACACCTGGGTGGCTCAGTCGGTTAAGTGTCCAACTTCGGCTCAGGTCATGATCTCCCGGTTCGTGGGTTCGAGCCCCGCATCGGGCTCTGCGCTGACAGCTCGGAGCCTGGCGCCTGCTTCAGATTCTGTCTCCCCCTCTCTCCGCCCTCCCCCTGCTTGCGCTCTGTCTCTTTCTCTCTCTCTCTCAAAAATAAATAAACGTAAAAAATTAAAATTAAATAAATAAAACAATACAGTGGTTTAAAGCCATCCAGGCTCAACTAAATGTTTCCTTTTCCAAATGGCAGCCTTAAGTTCAAAGCCCCTCGTATTTGTGCAGAAAACATTTGTCAGTAGAGTAAATGCACAGTTAACGGTCTCTGGGCTTCCTGAAATATAAATGCCCCTGCAGCTGACAGGATTAAAGGACCCCATGTTTCTGTTGACATTTTTTTCCCCAACATGGTCATCCAGCGAATTCATGTCTAGCAAAGAGGTGATTGGCTATTCGTTCTGTTTGCCACCGCCCCCTTGCCAGTTCCCTTCTGCTCTCCTCTGTGTCCTGGGGGCTGGCCTCTGGAGATTCATCCCTCAGGCTCTCCTGCTGTCTGGCTGATGAGGGGGCACAGGCAGGAATGAGCGAGGGGTTGGGGTATTTACACCCAGGTGTGTTCCTGCTGTGCCACAGGGACGGGGTGTGTGAGTATACCTGCCCCAGGGCCCCTTCTCCAAGGTTCCAGCTCTTTCTAGGCTCTGGCAACACCCTTCCCTCCCCTTTCACCTTCACCCCTAGGGGTGGTAACAGCTTCCTACTGTCGTCAGTCTCCAGGAGTTTCAACACCCCTTGTTGAACATCCCTGAGCCCTGTCCACACTCCAGTTAAGATTCTCTTCATCAGATTCTTAGCACTTAGGCCCCGTGTCCTGCCAGGATCTGGGCGATGCAGTGACAACCCCAGCGGAGGGAAGGCAGTCATCTGGGGACTGGCATTATTCATTCGATGTTCACTGAGCATCTCCTCCGGGCAAGTCACTTTGGAATCCTGGGTTGCCATTAAAGGCCCTCTTGCCCAGGTGCCAGCAGACTCCTTCTTAAAGGGCCAGATAGTGCACATTTTTGGCATCGCAGGCCACACGGTCTCTGTTGCAGTGACTCAACTCTGCCCTTGTAGCGCTAAAGCAGTTGTAGACGACATGGGAGTGAGTGTGGCTGTGTGCCCATGGCTTTATTTACAAAAACACGAGGCCGACTGGATCGGCCTGCAGGTTCACTGACCTCTGATCTTGATGAACCTTAAATCTTCCTCTTATGCCCCACTGGGAGCATCCCTGGGTGCGCCGGATGTCGAGGCGTCTCCGAGAATCTCCAGCAAGCATGTGGAGTCTCTTACCTTAGAGATCCAGAAATGTCGACGCTGACGTGGCCAATGGAGTTGCTGCAGTGGGCCACAGAGGCAGTGGGTCGTCCAGACTGGTCCTTGCCCAAGTTCAGAGAAACCGAGATGGAAATGCCATCCACACGCACGTCGAAAGTACCATCGAGGGTGCTGATTGGGAGAAATGGGAAGCAAATGTATGATCAGTCCCCTGTAGGAAGAGGAGCCAATACAATGCAGACCAGTCCCCAGTTCCCCACTAACTAGCTGTGTATCCTAACTGAGCCTCTACTCTGTCATGAGCTAAAACAGCCAGCGTTTATTGAACATCTGCTGTGTGCCAGGCAGGCACACTGCTAAATGCCTTACATCTGCTCTGTTATTAAATCCACAACTGCATCTATGAGGTGGGTTAATATTGACCCCATTCTACAGATGATAAAATAGAGGCTTCAGGATAGTCAGATCTGGGTCCTTCCTAGACGGGTTGTTTAAGAACCCAGAAATGGAAGCCCAGAGTGGGAGGACCTGCCCTTGCCCAAATCTCACCCAAATCTACTCACATGAAAGCCTTTTTCACCTTCCAGTTCCCGCTGACAGACACGTAGTTATTGGTCAAGGAGGCTGTGATCCCCTGGGTTGGGCGTAGTCTCAAATCCGAGTTCCTGAGCTCGAAGCGATGGATCTTCAGTCTGGAGAAGGAAGGCAGACTATCAAACTCAGAAAAGCCAGGTGCCCATTAGTCCTCCACACGAGGCTCTCGGCTCTAGGGTTGTTAGTGATTCGCTGTTTTTATGAATTTCTGGCTGCTTCACTGTCCTCTACTTGGCTCTTCGGTTCTTCTAACACCTTGGAGAAAGTTCCCTATGTTAGATTCCCTCCATTGAAGTTCCTCGTGTGGATTCTGCTTTTTTGGCTGGTCCGTGATGGATACAGTCACCCTACCTGGTACATACCCCCTCCCTGTGGCCATTTGAGTTCGTGGCTCTTGTCAGATCAACACTCATTAGTTCACTCAACCAACATCCATTGAGACCCCGTTCTGTGAGACCCGGTTCTAGGCACAGAGGACACAGAGATTCACAGCTCAGCCCTTGCCCTTGAAGAACTCCCAGTTGGTGGCAGATCTGGATGTGTTAACAAACTAAAAAGTATCCCACTGCGAAAACCAGATGCAAGGGATACTGTAGGGCTGTGGGTAGGGCTATTGACCTTTAAGTGGCATGGCCTGATCCCTCATCCGGGCAATCAGGAGAGTACCTGGGGGTCTCTGGCAGAACAAAAATCTAAGGGTAGTTTCTATAGCACTGACCTCACGGGGCTCATAAATGGTTTCTAAGTCTCTCCTTCCCATCCTGATGATTCAAGAAACATATAGAACCTTCCAGAAGCCCCACAAGAGCTGGCCGTGATCCTTTTGCCTTTAACCCAAGTGAAGATTCCATGTTTATTTCCTCCCACCCTCGTGAACCTAGGCCCCCATTCTTCCTCCTCCGCTGCCCCTGCAGTGGAGAATGGAGACCTCACCTGTAAAACTCATAGCTCACGCTTTTAATCCAACCGACTTTGAAGCTTCCTGAGAAATCAGGCAACTTGACCGTGGACAGCTCCTTCTTCAGGGTGGCTATTCCATAGCGGTGGGCTGAGGGGAAATGGGGGGAGTCAGCCAAGCGTAGCAGTCGGATGCCTGGGCTTTGAAATCACATGGCCTGGGATTGAATATAGGACTTGTCATTTACTATTGGTGTGCTCCCAAGCAAGCCCCTTGAATTCCTTGAGACTCGCTTCCCCCCACCCGTACAATGGTAATAACAATGATACCACCCTACGCCTGAGAATGGAATTAGATCGTGAATTCCAAGTGCCAGGTAAGTGGCAATTGTTATCTATTCATTCAACAAGGCCGTGGAAGCAATGATACGATACCGTGGGAGCTTTTGAGGAATGAGTTACTGCAGTGTAGTCAAACCTTCGGGTTTTTCACCATCGCCTGGACCCTGTGTTACCCATGCAGATTCCCAGGCCTCGCTTCCGTCGGTAGTAGACGGATCTTCGGAATCCGTATTTTACCGTGTGTCCTAGCAATTCCAGGACAGTCTGCTGGCCCCCTGGGGAAAATGCTGGTCTAGCCTCACCCTTAGCCTCCGCTATTCAAGATGAGGAAACTGAAGCCCAGAGAGTGACATTCCCAGGGTTTCTAAGACCCCTTCTCCTGGTTGCGACACCACTGTGGTGGGCAACAGCCGCACCAGAGGGATGGCCGACCCCCTTACCGTATTCCAGGCCTTTTCTGGTGATTCTGGCCACGAACCCGGGATTAGACGCCCCTTCTGCAGACCCAGAGACCTCCGCCAGCAGTAACAGGGCCAACACCACACAGGACGGCCTGGCCATCATCCAGTTCTCAGCAGCGTCCTGGGCAGAGGTTGGTCAGGCTCTCTCTGTAGGAGCCTCCCTTATTGAAGGTGACAGCAGAACTGAGGTGCTTATAAAGCCAGGGGCCAGAGGAGGAACTGAGCCAGCTGGAAGAGAAGACGGGGAAAGTTCAAGGCTTTGGGGCAGTCCAGTTTTTAGCAACTTGAGACGGGGAGAAAGTCGCCTGTGGAATCGTTTGAGGTTTATTTCTGGCCTAAGGGCAGCGGAAGTGGGACCACAACCCCCACCCTCTTCCTCTTCTAAGCTCTCCTGCCCGGTGCTGCCAGAGGAGCCTTCCTGCCACACCTCTCTCGTGATGAACACCTCCATTCATTCTCCGTTATTTACAGACTGAAATGTCAACACCCCGTTGTTTGGCTCTGGCGCGCCTCTCCAACTAGACCTTCCACTGCCTTAGCTTGCCAGGCCTGTGCTCTGGCTCCACGGGCCCCCCGCGTTCTCCCCGCTGACGTCTTGCAAGATGATCTCAAGTCAGGCCACACGTACGACAGATGGATTCTGCGACTCTAGGCTCCAGACAGTTGTAAATATTCTCTTGTTTTTTTTTTTTTTTTAATTTTAACATATATTTATATCTTTATTTATTTTGAGAGAGAGGGAGAGAGAGAGAGACAACACAAGCAGGGGAGGGGCAGGGAGAGGGAGAGAGAAAGAGAAGCCCAAGCAGGCTCCGTGCTGTCAGCGCACAGCCAGTCGTGGGACTCGAACCCACGGAGCGTGAGATCCTGACCTGAGCTGAAATCGAGAGTCAGATGCTTAACCGACTGAGGCACCCAGGTGCCCCTTGCCTACATTGTGTGAAAGCAACTTTATTAAGATATGATTTATATGCAATAAAACACGGACATTTTTTTTTAATGTTTATTTATTTATTTATTTATTTATTTAAAAAAAATTTTTTTTTCAATGTTTATTTATTTTTGGGACAGAGAGAGACAGAGCATGAACGGGCGAGGGGCAGAGAGAGAGGGAGACACAGAATCGGAAACAGGCTCCAGGCTCTGAGCCATCAGCCCAGAGCCCGACGCGGGGCTCGAACTCACGGACCGCGAGATCGTGACCTGGCTGAAGTCGGACGCTTAACCGACTGCGCCTGGGTGGCGCAGTCGGTTA